CTATTAGCTCACAAACGAACGCCACTACCTCAAATATGCGATCGCGGGTTTGTTTTCAAAACGGGAATTTTTGGGTCTCCAAACAGTCAGTGGTATTGGATCCACGTTCAGGCTAAAAATGCAAGATGACTATTCCTTGTTAGGAACGAGAGTATCCTAGAGGATTATTTCAGTAAAGAAAGCAGATAGTGAGCGTAGCTGATATTTCGGCCAGTCGACAAAATGATAGCTCTCCCAGGAATTGAAGTTGAATTAGCGTGCGGTTATCGTGCAGTTATTGCCTTGTTATTTACTTTACCGAACTCATTTCTTTTTTTTGATTTGTGCACCTATTCACCTACTCATCTCTCTATGTTGCTACATTTTTATTGCTTCACCTCTTCTTATTTTTTGCCTCTCCCCCTTCCACTGTTTTTTTTTAGTTTTTCTCCAGCCTTGATTTGCTTTATTTCTGTATTTCTCTATTTTTCTATATTACACATTATTTGTATTACACATATGTTTATATTGTATCCATATAACCTTATAATATCTAGGAGCAAACGGGAATCTGACGATTTCTGGAGATGAAATAGTGCGGTCGATAGATTTTCTCAACGAGAACTTCGAATTTCTCAATCTTGCAAAGTTTGGACCTGTTGAGGATGTGAAGATAGTCATTGTCGTGCAGGTATTGCAGAAGTTTCTGAGTATATTCTCCTACTTGGCATTTTCTCATACTTTCTAGCAATATGAATTTCAAAGGAGTTCGATTTTTTTGAGACAATTCGGTTCATGCGACAGTATTTTAGGTACATAATCGTCCGAATTACCTTTCTTACCTCATCGAATCACTTCGCCATACGAAAGGAATCGACCAAGCTCTTATTGTATTCAGTCATGATATTAACGTGACTCCGGTGAACGAAATGATAAGAAATATTAGTTTCGCTCGAGTGAGTGTATTAGCTCGATTCTTCATTTTTTGAAACTTTTTACCTTTAGAAGCCCTTGAGTGTACGGAACTTTTGCCATAGTTCCCTTCTCGGCCACATGGTTTGCTATAGGAAAACATTTTGTCGATTCTTGCCAGTTTTCCGGGCGATTTTGTAGAGATCTGCAAATTTTTATAGAGCTATGAAACGAGAGCTCCATTCGGTGCACTATGTGTGTTCCAATGAGGCAGAGGGCCCACTTACCACGCTGAGGTCAATTTACCACCTCCGTAGGAAGAAAGGCTTAGTTCGCGTAGGCTCACACCTACGCCAAGTAAGCCTTCCTTTCTCCGGAGAAGGTAAAGTGGTTCCAGATTCGTCTGGGAGGATAAAAGCTGACTTAGGCAGCGTTCAGAGTTGTCGCGCTTGGACGCGCGTTGATTGTCGCTGTCGCTGTAACTGAACACGCTACAATTACAAGCGCGCTCCAATTGTACCAGACCCCAGCTTCCCTTTATGTTCTTTCTTCCGGTATTCAACCCTTTTTCACTGTTTCTCATTTC